GCCATAACATTATGATTTTTTACAAGTGTATGTACACTTTTGACCACAACTGTATTTTTTGTCACCCTCCTGCTGCTGTATTTCAGATAACATTGTGAGGTTTTAAAATAAATCACCAAGCTCTTAATAGTTTAAAGCAGCTCACAATTATTTTTATTTTTTATCAAGTAGATCAGTCTTTCTCAAACTGTGGTTCCCGAACCACTAGTGGTCCGCAGGTGGCCCCTAGTGGTCTGCCAGGTACTGCATGTAAAAGTTCGTTTACGCCAACTTAAGCCATTTATCCATTATCATTATTTTAAATACAATCTTTTGGTTAGCTAACAGTAGCGTCGCACTCTGAGCTCGAGGCGGTGAGCAGAGCTGCGCCCCACGCTGACTAACTGCACCTTAACACCTAAAATTAATGTGGGGCTATCTATGGCTGAAAGAATATATTTGTTTTTTTCCAGCACGACGAAAGTCTATTTTTCTTTTATTGTGTTTCTACAGTACAAATAGCTCTAAAACGTTACTAATTCACACAACACTTATAGTGAAGAACTTTTTTGATTTCCATGTATTTTCTGTCTGTAGTATATTTAAAGAATGTAATATACTGGTTACATGTCTTTGGAAAAATTAGAATCCAATCTCCCAGAATCTGTAAATAACTCAAATCACCCCAGTTGACTTGTTTATGGTTTCATGGTGGCCAGTCACATTTACTAAACAGCGCCACCCTTCACATTAGGAGGAGCAAAGACGATGAGTTAAGACAATAATACTTTAGTTTCTGGTTGTATATGTTAAGATGTAATATGCAAGGGCAGTTTCAGGTGAGGCGGTCAGTGAAAAAGTTTGTTAAACACTGAACTGGATGGAAACCAGAAGAGGCGTTGCTTTGGACCTGCCTTAACCCATTCATCAGCAAAGTGATTAAAACAGCTTTATTTCAACAACTAAATAGCTTCTCAACAACGACTTAACAACAGGATAAATACGTTTACACCACGTGTCAAACTCAAGGCCCGGGGGCCAAATATGGTCCGCCATGGCTTTTTATGAGTCCCTTTAGACTCTAGACGCCAAGTTACATCAATCAGTTCCTCCAGTTTTAGCAGATATTCACTCAAAATCAACAGATCCATGCATTTTTTTTTTTTTGCACTACTGCATATTTATGTGGGAGTTTATTGCATTTTTTTTTTTGCAAAAATTGTCAAATGTTTTGGATTTTAAGAGATGCTAACTCCGCCTGTAGTTAGCAGCTTTTCTTACTTTTACAACACTGCTGTCTCTGTCTTACTTTGTATTAAGTTATAGTTTGTGATTGATGAGGTTAGTAACAAAAAGCCACATTCAGCATTATACATAAGCACAAATATTGAAAATAATTTCAAATTAGCACCACGAAATCTATGATTTGATTAATCAAAGTGAAGAAATGTTCAATATTATATAATTATAATTAGCACTTATTGTAAGAAGAGACTGCCATTTGTTCTTAATTTAATAGCTTAAGGGTTTTATCAATATATTCTGACACAACCACCTCTTAAGAACATTTATATATATCTTAATATTTGCTCAAAATGAAAATGAGTTTAATCTTTTACCAGCTTCTTTATTTAATATGAGCAAATGTTATATTTAGCACATTCCAGCTGTTATCCTTTGCTTTTCTGTAAGACGTGATGATGCTAGTTCACAATTTTTCTGTCCCCGTCTTTTTTTTTTTTTTTTTTGGGTAAAAAATTTTTTAATGCTCATTAAGATATTTTTTCCATTTGGAGAACAGCTGCCGGTAAAATCCAGACCTGTTTGAATTAAAGATCTGAGATGCTGTGCTGCTAAAGCCCAAAGCATTTTTGACAGACATTGTAGCTGCATCACTTAAACACTCTGAATTTCACCATCTCTTTAACGATCTGAGCCATTGTAAGAGTTTTCTGGTCGTTCATCTCATTGCAGGTGTATGACCACGAGTACAAAGCCGTGGTGGACGGCGTAGAGACGAACAGTGTGATGGAGATTGACCCAGCTGACCTCACTGAGATCTTCAGAATGGGGAACGGCAGTAAGGAGGTCGTGGAGGTGCACGACTTTAAGAATGTAAGTAAAAAGGTTAAACAAGTCCATATCGAGCTGACCCTTCTTTGATGCAAAGTCGACAACACAATCATATCTTATCTTCAGAAGAGAAACGGTCATGCTGTTCACACGGCTCAGAGCTGAAAGACGGCTCCTCTCATTTCCCTCCAGTCATCTCTTAGATTTTCATCCTTTCAATGGAAAAAAATGTTTGACAAACAACAGAAATAGAAAGTGGAAAAGAAAATTAAAGCTGCAGTATAACTTATATATATTATATTTTTATTTAAAAAAAATTTAAATAAAATATTTTTAGTAAAAACTAATATTTTTGCATATTTGTTGAAACTGAGACATAATCTGTGAAAAAAGTGAAGCTACTCTGCCTTCTCCCAGTGCTCCCAGTGATGAGTAGAAACAACCAGTCAGAGCCAGGAGGCGGGTCTTAGCGTAGCTTCCCTTTTACGCCCCACTTTACTGTCTGCTAGCTGCAGCTAGCATAGCCTGTTGTAGCACTATTGAAGTACAGAAGGACTAGATGGAATAAATCAGAAGACTAAATTCGTCTAATGGAGCCGTTGTCAGTAATCAATAAAAACAATGCAAAAGAACTGCTTTCAATACCATGTATTTTGAAGAAAAAATTAAAGTGAACAATACAAGACAAACGTACATAAAACCCTAAATAAATACAAAATAAATATACACAGTACTGCGGCAGATCCTTCATACTTTTGTGCACAACTGGTCTTAAACTTCCCCGCTGGTCAGCACAATGTCTGACCGACACACATTCAAAAGTCCATGGTTGGATTATCCAGATATTTAAGATGACAATGTCCCAGTGCAAGTTGTTTCGGATGAAGAGATGAGTAATGGTTTGTGTGCCTGAATGGTGAGATGGAGGGGGAAATGATACAGACCGTCAACCTCCTACCAGACCAGTATGGAGTGATTCTTAGGTTCTCCTGGCCCCAGCCAGTTTTCAGAAGTTCGCCATCCTTGAACCCTAAAAAGGGGTCACCTGGCCAATTCCATTAATAGTTGAGTGCATGACAGCTTCATGTCTCCAAACTCACTGGATTCTCAGATCTGCAGCTCCTTTGTCTCCAGCTCTCCCCCTCCCCCTGACTGAGGAAAGCTGGAGCAAGCCTAAATAATTACCTCAGGTGTGTCAATTGGTTGAATGCACTGTGTGACTGACTGTCACTCTAACCAATGGGGCAGCAAGGCGGGACTAAGGGCAGTTTTTTTCCTACCCCGGGTTACACTGTCATGCATGCTAATGCTAGTTAGCATGGCCACTGCTAATAGAGGTAAGGTAATTTTATTCATACAGCACATTTTCAGCAACAAGGCAATTCAAAGTGCTTCATATGACCAAGAGAAAGACAAAAAGGTAAAAGTACAAAACTAAAATTTAGCTTCCCCGGGTTTAATAAGAATAAGTAGTCCATATAAACTAGTAGGTTTTCTCTGGATTCTTGTTCTGATAAAACTAGATGTTGGTTCTACATGTTTGATTATTGTTCTGGGTTGTTAAGTAGATGGTACTTTCTAAGTTTGTTCTATATTTGTAAACTAATAGGAGTTTCTCTAGGTCTTGTGCTGATATTAAAAGTATAAAGCTAAATTTTGGTCTAAAGTAATAAGTATTCCACAGTTTATTAAAATAGTAAACTGAACAGACAGACAAGGGAAACGGTTCCTGTTAAGTTATTTCTCCAAGATTAGCACATTTAACAGGAAGTACATGAGGATGATTAGCAGCGCTAAGACCCTCCTCCTGGCTCTGATTGGCTGATTTTGGTCAGGAGCGGTTCATTTCTTCAGACGTATTTCAGGAAGGAGACGAAGATCGAACTTTTCACAGATTATCTCCTAACAAACATGGTGACATTTTTAACAAACATGTAAAAAACTTATTTTTTATGTATATGTTTTATACATGCTGCAGCTTTAATTTCACACACATCAGTAAATGATGCTAAAGCAGCAGCAGATGTTGAGATTTATGTGCATTCAGCAACCTAGAAAAAAACAATCAGTCTTGCTAAAAAAAAACAAGAAGTGCTTTCTTCCCACTAATTCTATACAGCAACTTCTTTACAGTGCAGAAACAAACACCATTAAGTAGCCTTTCTTTACGCATTTCTCACACTTTCTGGAGCTGCTATTTTGTCTGCAGTAAAACTCATTAACTTACCTTTCATTCTCAAATCCTGCTCGAGTGTGCAGGATGTTACACATTCTGCATCTGGGAGAAAGGAGCGCGCAGCTTGACTGGGTAATGAATGCTCTTACTCTCACTCCATTATTTAATGTGAAATGTTGGGGTTGCAAGGCTGAAAGTTACAGGTTGCACTTCATCCCGAACAAAAAGCCCCACACTGAGCGGGCATTGTTTTTGTTACAATGGTCTTTGTGAGTGGAAAATGAATCAATGATGGAAACCAGCACAGCGAAGGACGGCGTTAACCTCTGAAGTCTCATTCTTCCACACCAATAAGAGCAGTGAATGTACGTCTGTGTGAATAAATCGGAAACATGCATAAACACATCTGCTCGCTGTTGTCCCGCTTCCTGTGGGTGAAGCACGTCCTTGAGGAGGTTTGTTTGATCCGGCGCGCCGCCATGAAAGAATAAAAGCAACGACTGACTGAACACAATGATTCAGGCCTCATTGGAAGAGAGGAACTAACAAAACCCACAATAGTTTGCAGGTAGTTTGCGCTTGAGCAATTATGTTAGAATTGATTTTTTTTAGGATAAGAAAAGGTGAATCTCCTTGGTTGTTATAAAGCACCTTCAAACATGAACTCAATCAAACCTGGGAGCTGTTGAGAAAAGTGGAAAATGAAACTGTTATTCCCCTTGGGGCTGTATTTGCCCTAGCTGAGGAAAGAAGACAACCTGACAGAATGTATTGCTGCAATCAATATGATTTTCTTTAATCTGTGAAATGGTTCTTCTGTCTGCATTTACCTCAACATTTTTTATGATGTCAGAAATATAACAAAAGCCCCTAAAGTTAGGATAATGCTTTATGACATTTCTACCATCATGTTATTGTTTTTTTATTGTGTGACTTAATTGCAGCAGGAAGGGTGGACAAAAAGAAGGAAACAGTTTATAGGCCTGGAAATTCACAAATTACAACCGAGGAAAAACAACATAAATAAGGAATAAACAGGATTTGTCATGTTGCGATTAACTTGTCGAACCTGCATGCGCAGAACACACTCTGGAGACGGGTGAAGGTGATTTATTAAATACAGTGTAAACGGAAATATATTCAAGATGATCCGGAACTGGTGCTCGTCTTGGTGGTTCTGGCTCTCTGGGTGGAGATGAGACAGGTTAGGGGCGTTCAGAGGTCGTGGGAAATTACAGTCCTGCTAGAGACCTACTTGCTGATGAGCTCGTCTGAGCACAGGGAAGGTGTACCGTAAGGATCCGGAGCTGCAGGCTGGAACGAGGGCGTGAGCTTCTCTAGAGGGCAGGCAGGTGAGTGGAGGGTGATCTCAATGAGGAGCCGGGAGGGAACCGCTGACCGGGGCACTACCACTGACTGAACTGAGAGCTGGTCTCTGGGACTGAGGCCACCAACGGGTAAAATCCGCGGGAGGATCTTGGTCAATATGCCGAGGTTCGTGGAAGTTCAAAGAACTCAGGGCTTCGCGGGATGACAACCATCACAGGCTAACACTCTGGCACAGGAGTGTCGGGGGCTCTGTCCTGATAAACTCCTCCAAACAAAGGTAAGTGGCAGCAGGTGTGCAGGTGGGCTGCTGCAGGTCCACGCCCTCCAGAAGGTCCCAGGATGCCCCCTGGTGGAGAAACTAGAGATGCCCCAACCAGCCTTCCCCAAATCCTAACAGGATTAGGAACAGGAGCGAAGCAACTGAAAGAATAGATCAGTCTTATTAATAATTACTGAAGTAAAGACTACCAAACCAGAGCATGAACTTTCCTTTCTTGAGCTGTTGAGCCAATTTTCTCATTTCACTCCATCCTGTATCTTTTTATTACTGAAGGGACAGCATTATGTAAAATCATTTTTTTTTTTAGTTTTACTTCATGCTATAATGCTATTCCCTCTTCAAAAACACACCTAGAGTGTTGCCTTGATTCTTTCATGCATGTTTGATGAATCCTTTAGTCTCCATGGCAACCATTAAGCTGTGCAAAACGCCTGGGTGGACCTAGCTCCACCTTCTAGGACGAAGCTCCTCCTCAGAGTTTCAGTTTCCAAGCTTCTGCCTCACAAAGCAGCTCTACTCCGCTCCTTCAGACTAGCCAGCATCAATTAGCAAACACCTATGTGCACGTCTGCTGAGCTCATTATAGGAGCTACTTCTCAGTGTGAAGGGTTAATAGAGGAGCCATGTTGTGGTGACTTCCTGAAGGCGGAGATTCAGAAAGACAGAGGCCCAATTACAAGTCGTTAAAGGGTTAAATCAGGAAACAAAATGTCTTTTAAGTCATATTTGACATATATAGCATTTTCTATAACTGGAGACACTTGACTGTGCTATAAAATGGCACGATGTGCCTGGAAAACACATAATGTAGCCCTTTAAGTATTCAGTGAAAACCTGTTGTCACCCACTGACAGTCCCCCAGACGCTCTGGACAGAACCTGAAAGGTGGACATGTCCAGGGAAACCGGGCCCATACATGTCGCCTATGTGTTTGTTACCTCCATTAAGCTTCTCTTCAACGCAGAATTACAACAGATGGTGAAAAAAGTATAAAAAAGACACTTTAAGGTTATTGACAAGGCTCAAAATGGTGTATTTGGTATTTTGTTGAGTAAGAGACCTTCTGCCCTCAACCAAACTCTATTTAGTGTGCTAATACTTTATATCACTCCAGACGTCTGCAGTAGCTTTATTTTCACTAAACATTACTCCTTTAGGCTTTACCAGTGATCCCAGTTTGACCTTGTCATGTGGAAAACTCCTTTTATGCTGAAGCTGTAATGTTTTCCCCTCACATATTGACTTTAAATCAAATCT